TTGTATAGAATTCTTTGAGGTATGATTCAAATTATCAACAGTCAAAGATACATAATTGTTCGAAACAACACTTTACAACTCCAAATGTTTGTCTGACATGAAATTATTGAAAAGTGATTAATAGTTAATCTTTAACTTGACAATCCACAAATTACGCATAGTCTAATAACTTCGTCTCATACGGTTAACTTGATACTATAATGCGTACAGATATTGAATAAAACTTCTCATACTTTAATATACAAATTTAAAACTGTTAAATATTAATTGGTACCTGAGGTTTGCGTATCATCACCGCATAATATTCTAATTTGGAATTCAAATTCAAAAGTAGGACTATATCCAAAAGGCTTTCTCTTTTCTAATATCTTTAAGGATAAGACAATGTTTAAAGATTAGACGATTCTAAATTTGATAAGGGTGATAAAATACGGGTAATGATATCGCGATAGTTCCTTTCCTAGAAATATGAATATTTATGAGGTTTTACAATATGAGAGAGATAAACATATTATGAAACGAATCATTTAATCTGATTAATTATGATATTGTAATTTTATCTCGTGATAAGTTGAAAGGAAAGAATGATTGGCAAGGGCCTATTTCAATGTAGCCCCGTCAAATGACATGCACGTGTACTGGTCAGGATAACCCCACAAAGTTAAAAACAGGATTTATAATTAGTCCAAAATAAACTTTAAATTTAAAATCAACATTCTACTTCAACAGGAAGCGATAACTTCACCTACAAAACTGAAATGATAACACACCTCAGCAAGAGTCTCGCTAATCAGCAGAGTAACCCTGGGGGCTCTAAATTAATATTTCCTGACAAAGGAAGTTGTACGAAAACCTCCAAAACCCATAATTCCCTGTCCTTTATTTCTTATCCAGCGGTTTCTGAGCTACGCTCCGACCGTTCCACTGTAATGTGTTTTGCAGTCCGTTAAACCAGTCCTGCATTGAGCCCTCTTTGTCTATACATGGTAATGGGTACTCTGAGGCGCTCATCTCAACTCTGAAGTGGGAGGAAGAGTTATTAGTTTCAGAGCAAAACAGCTTTAAGGGGACATACACCAAAACCCTTTTTGCCGGGACCCTTGATTTGACTTCATATTATGAAAATATAGATAAAGACACAGTAGTTAGAATAATGTTGGCCTTTTAGATAACTGACAATGACACTATATTCTATATTTAAATATTCTATATTTGAAATGAAATGAAATGAAATGAAATAAAATGAAATGAAATGAAATGAAATGAAATGAAATGAAATGAAATGAAATGAAATGAAATGAAATGAAATGAAATGAAATGAAATGAAGCATTTTTATCCCGCTTATATCAACAATCCAAATAAAAAATAAAGATTGCCGATGTAAAAGCGGCTGGCCTCGCGATATAATCCAAAAACTAGATACTCAATATATGAATATACTAGTAACAAATATAAAAACCAAAAGTACTTATTTGACATTTTTAAAAAATAAATAATCACACACGGTAAAAACTTATGGACGTATATCACTCATTATTATGTATCACTCTCTAACATCTTGTCCTCACTACAAATGTTACCACTTCTGATGTAATAATGTTTTTTAGTGTCTTCTTTGGCTATCTGTTTCATTTCAGTCTCAATTTTTTGGCATTTACTAATATCTGATGAACGGTACTAGAATTACCTAGCGAAACTTTGACTGGTCTCGTCTTGTCGGCTGATTTCCTCCCAACCCGGATAGCTGCAAAACTGCTGAAAAATCACGTCAACTTTATCGCACAGTTTCTCTTCATCAGTCTCCTTCAAACCAAAGATGAGCACATTCCTACTGCGATCCTCTTCCGATACAGCATTCTGTACAACCTTTTTCAAACTCTCTTCTGTAAGCACAGGTGCAGTTTTAGTCACAGCTTGACTGTATGACTTCATCTCAGCTTGGACAGTGTCTTGAACGGCGGTCTTAACGGTGGAGTGCACGGATTCCAACTGCTTCGATTTAGTTTCCAGAAGTTCAGCCTGCAGCTTGATAACAGTATTTTGCGATCGGATAAGATCGCTCTTCAACTCCTCCATATCTTTCTTTTAACAACTTACAACACTATAAATAAAGTTAAAAGCAAAGTACTTGGAGTTATCACAGCTACACTAACTATTTTACACTTTCTTTACCCACATCAGAGCTGGTCACCGCACACATCATTTGCCCACTATGGCTACATAACGGGGACCTAGGTTTGTTATCCAGATAACACCACTGTTTGAACAGTACAACACAGAGTCCGCACTAAAACATACATTGTATTCAGGTTACAGTAACCGTGGTGTAATTGGCGTGGTAGCGGTGACGGGGTAGTGTCAGGGTAGCTGTGTAGTGTACAATTAGCCTGTGTAGCCAGACAATTGTCCACCTCGTTCTACTGAGTGCAGGTGGTTCCAGAACCTTCTCACTCTACACTGCAGGTTTCTACTGAGTGCAGGTGGTTCCAGAACCTTCTCACTCTACACTGCAGGTTTCTACTGAGTGCAGGTGGTTCCAGAACCTTCTCACTCTACACTGCAGGTTTCTGATGAGTGCAGGTGGTTCCAGAACCTTCTCACTCTACACTGCAGGTTTCTACTGAGTGCAGCTGGTTCCAGAACCTTCTCACTCTACACTACAGGTTTCTACTGAGTGCAGGTGGTTCCAGAACCTTCTCACTCTACACTGCAGGTTTCTACTGAGTGCAGGTGGTTCCAGAACCTTCTCACTCTACACTACAGGTTTCTACTGAGTGCAGGTGGTTCCAGAACCTTCTCACTCTACACTGCAGGTTTCTACTGAGTGCAGGTGGTTCCAGAACCTTCTCACTCTACACTGCAGGTTTCTACTGAGTGCAGGTGGTTCCAGAACCTTCTCACTCTACACTGCAGGTTTCTACTGAGTGCAGGTGGTTCCAGAACCTTCTCACTCTACACTGCAGGTTTCTACTGAGTGCAGGTGGTTCCAGAACCTTCTCACTCTACACTGCAGGTTTCTACTGAGTGCAGGTGGTTCTAGAACCTTCTCACTCTACACTGCAGGTTTCTACTGAGTGCAGGTGGTTCCAGAACCTTCTCACTCTACACTACAGGTATCTACTGAGTGCAGGTGGTTCCAGAACCTTCTCACTCTACACTACAGGTTTCTACTGAGTGCAGGTGGTTCCAGAACCTTCTCACTCTACACTACAGGTATCTACTGAGTGCAGGTGGTTCCAGAACCTTCCACTCTACACTGCAGGTTTCTACTGAGTGCAGGTGGTTCCAGAACCTTCTCACTCTACACTGCAGGTTTCTGCTGAGTGCAGGTGGTTCCAGAACCTTCTCACTCTACACTGCAGGTTTCTACTGAGTGCAGGTGGTTCCAGAACCTTCTCACTCTACACTACAGGTTTATACTGAGTGCAGGTGGTTCCAGAACCTTCTCACTCTACACTGCAGGTTTATACTGAGTGCAGGTGGTTCCAGAACCTTCTCACTCTAGACTGCAGGTTTCTGATGAGTGCAGGTGGTTCCAGAACCTTCTCACTCTACACTGCAGGTTTCTGATGAGTGCAGGTGGTTCCAGAACCTTCTCACTCTACACTGCAGGTTTCTGCTGAGTGCAGGTGGTTCCAGAACCTTCTCACTCTACACTGCAGGTTTCTACTGAGTGCAGGTGGTTCCAGAACCTTCTCACTCTACACTGCAGGTTTCTACTGAGTGCAGGTGGTTCCAGAACCTTCTCACTCTACATTGCAGGTTTCTACTGAGTGCAGGTGGTTCCAGAACCTTCTCACTCTACACTGAAGGTTTCTACTGAGTGCAGGTGGTTCCAGAACCTTCTCACTCTACACTACAGGTTTCTACTGAGTGCAAGTGGTTCCAGAACCTTCTCACTCTACACTGCAGGTTTCTACTGAGTGCAGGTGGTTCCTGAACCTTCTCACTCTACACTACAGGTTTCTACTGAGTGCAAGTGGTTCCAGAACCTTCTCACTCTACACTGCAGGTTTCTACTGAGTGCAGGTGGTTCCAGAACCTTCTCACCCTACACTGCAGGTTTATACTGAGTGTAGGTGGTTCCAGAACCTTCTCACTCTACACTGCAGGTTTCTACTGAGTGCAGGTGGTTCCAGAACCTTCTCACTCTACACTGCAGGTTTCTACTGAGTGCAGGTGGTTCCAGAACCTTCTCACTCTACACTGCAGGTTTCTACTGAGTGCAGGTGGTTCCAGAACCTTCTCACTCTACACTGCAGGTTTCTACTGAGTGCAGGTGGTTCCAGAACCTTCTCACCCTACACTGCAGGTTTATACTGAGTGCAGGTGGTTCCAGAACCTTCTCACTCTACACTGCAGGTTTCTGATGAGTGCAGGTGGTTCCAGAACCTAATCACTCTACACTACAGGTATCTACTGAGTGCAGGTGGTTCCAGAACCTTCTCACTCTACACTGCAGGTTTCTACTGAGTGCAGGTGGTTCCAGAACCTTCTCACTCTACACTGCAGGTTTCTACTGAGTGCAGGTGGTTCCAGAACCTTCTCACCCTACACTGCAAGTTTATACTGAGTGCAGGTGGTTCCAGAACCTTCTCACTCTACACTGCAGGTTTCTACTGAGTGCAGGTGGTTCCAGAACTTTCTCACCCTACACTGCAAGTTTATACTGAGTGCAGGTGGTTCCAGAACCTTCTCACTCTACACTGCAGGTTTCTACTGAGTGCAGGTGGTTCCAGAACCTTCTCACTCTACACTACAGGTTTCTACTGAGTGCAGGTGGTTCCAGAACCTTCTCACCCTACACTGCAAGTTTATACTGAGCGCAGGTGGTTCCAGAACCTTCTCACTCTACACTGCAGGTTTCTGATGAGTGCAGGTGGTTCCAGAACCTTCTCACTCTACACTGCAGGTTTCTGATGAGTGCAGGTGGTTCCAGAACCTTCTCACTCTACACTGCAGGTTTCTACTGAGTGCAGGTGGTTCCAGAACCTTCTCACTCTACACTGCAGGTTTCTACTGAGTGCAGGTGGTTCCAGAACCTTCTCACCCTACACTGCAAGTTTATACTGAGTGCAGGTGGTTCCAGAACCTTCTCACTCTACACTGCAGGTTTCTACTGAGTGCAGGTGGTTCCAGAACCTTCTCACCCTACACTACAGGTTTCTACTGAGTGCAGGTGGTTCCATAACCTACTCACTCTACACTGCAGGTTTCTACTGAGTGCAGGTGGTTCCAGAACCTTCTCACTCTACACTGTAGGTTTCTACTGAGTGCAGGTGGTTCCAGAACCTTCTCACTCTACACTGCAGGTTTCTACTGAGTGCCGGTGGTTCCAGAACCTTCTCACTCTACACTACAGGTATCTACTGAGTGCAGGTGGTTCCAGAACCTTCTCACTCTACACTGCAGGTTTCTACTGAGTGCAGGTGGTTCCAGAACCTTCTCACTCTACACTGTAGGTTTCTACTGAGTGCAGGTGGTTCCAGAACCTTCTCACTCTACACTGCAGGTTTCTACTGAGTGCAGGTGGTTCCAGAACCTTCTCACTCTACACTACAGGTTTCTACTGAGTGCAGGTGGTTCCAGAACCTTCTCACTCTACACTGCAGGTTTCTACTGAGTGCAGGTGGTTCCAGAACCTTCTCACTCTACACTGCAGGTTTCTACTGAGTGCAGGTGGTTCCAGAACCTTCTCACTCTACACTGCAGGTTTCTACTGAGTGCAGGTGGTTCCAGAACCTTCTCACTCTACACTGCAGGTTTCTACTGAGTGCAGGTGGTTCCAGAACCTTCTCACTCTACACTGCAGGTTTCTACTGAGTGCAGGTGGTTCCAGAACCTTCTCACTCTACACTGCAGGTTTCTACTGAGTGCAGGTGGTTCCAGAACCTTCTCACTCTACACTGCAGGTTTATACTGAGTGCAGGTGGTTCCAGAACCTTCTCACTCTACACTGCAGGTTTCTACTGAGTGCAGGTGGTTCCAGAACCTTCTCACTCTACACTGCAGGTTTCTACTGAGTGCAGGTGGTTCCAGAACCTTCTCACTCTACACTGCAGGTTTCTACTGAGTGCAGGTGGTTCCAGAACCTTCTCACTCTACACTGCAGGTTTCTACTGAGTGCAGGTGGTTCCAGAACCTTCTCACTCTACACTGCAGGTTTCTACTGAGTGCAGGTGGTTCCAGAACCTTCTCACTCTACACTGCAGGTTTCTACTGAGTGCAGGTGGTTCCAGAACCTTCTCACCCTACACTGCAGGTTTATACTGAGTGCAGGTGGTTCCAGAACCTTCTCACTCTACACTGCAGGTTTCTGATGAGTGCAGGTGGTTCCAGAACCTTCTCTCTCTACACTACAGGTATCTACTGAGTGCAGGTGGTTCCAGAACCTTCTCACTCTACACTGCAGGTTTCTACTGAGTGCAGGTGGTTCCAGAACCTTCTCACTCTACACTGCAGGTTTCTACTGAGTGCAGGTGGTTCCAGAACCTTCTCACTCTACACTGCAGGTTTCTACTGAGTGCAGGTGGTTCCAGAACCTTCTCACTCTACACTGCAGGTTTCTACTGAGTGCAGGTGGTTCCAGAACCTTCTCACTCTACACTGTAGGTTTCTACTGAGTGCAGCTGGTTCCAGAACCTTCTCACTCTACACTGCAGGTTTATACTGAGTGCAGGTGGTTCCAGAACCTTCTCACTCTACACTGCAGGTTTCTACTGAGTGCAGGTGGTTCCAGAACCTTCTCACTCTACACTGCAGGTTTCTACTGAGTGCAGGTGGTTCCAGAACCTTCTCACTCTACACTGTAGGTTTATACTGAGTGCAGGTGGTTCCAGAACCTTCTCACTCTACACTGTAGGTTTCTACTGAGTGCAGGTGGTTCCAGAACCTTCTCACTCTACACTGCAGGTTTATACTGAGTGCAGGTGGTTCCAGAACCTTCTCACTCTACACTGCAGGTTTCTACTGAGTGCAGGTGGTTCCAGAACCTTCTCACTCTACACTGTAGGTTTCTACTGAGTGCAGGTGGTTCCAGAACCTACTCACTCTACACTGCAGGTTTCTACTGAGTGCAGGTGGTTCCAGAACCTTCTCACTCTACACTACAGGTTTCTACTGAGTGCAGGTGGTTCCAGAACCTTCTCACTCTACACTACAGGTTTCTACTGAGTGCAGGTGGTTCCAGAACCTTCTCACTCTACACTGCAGGTTTCTACTGAGTGCAGGTGGTTCCAGAACCTTCTCACTCTACACTGCAGGTTTCTACTGAGTGCAGGTGGTTCCAGAACCTTCTCACTCTACACTGTAGGTTTCTACTGAGTGCAGGTGGTTCCAGAACCTTCTCACTCTACACTGAAGGTTTCTAACTCAGTGGATGTATCCGTGTTGTAGTTAAACAAGGGAGCCGGGAGGCTCTGTGTAGACCACACTTAAGAACAGCTACCCTCCTGTGTCAGCACAGTGGCTCTGTGGAATAGTCAATTCTCATAATTATCATCTTTGGCTTGTAGCTCGAAGTCCGATGAAAGGAGCCCTTAGTTTTACAAATTGACCTTGACCATGGGTACCTTCTACAGAAAATGTTTGGTCAGTGAGAGAACTTATCCACCCTGTTTAAAAGTATAGGGATCATCATTTGTAAGTTATCGGGTCATCGCCGAGATATTACCATGAAGTTGCAGTAAAACAGATGTCTACTTCAATCTCATGATGAGTTTCTCGTCTCATCTTTACTGGAAATTAATATGTAGCATATGTGTTTAATAAACATTACCGTTAATATTACGGGTCTTTAAATTCTATTTCAGCGTACCAGCAAAACAATAATTCTTCTTATAATATCTTAGTTCGGAGATGGAGGTTGGTTATGAAGTTACGCATAAATCAGCCCTGGGTTGGACTCGACCCTTCAAGTTCAATCATGATATTGAGCTTGATGGAACTAATCTACGGGCCATAAACTCATAAACATAATACTCGACGATTAGAGCTTATCACTGGTCGAGGTGGCCGATTAATCGTCCATTTATGAAGTGTTACTAATATGATGCGTGTTACTGAACTTCTTCATTCAGGGATAGCAGCTTATTCAGTGTTATTGAGAAGTCACTAATAATATAATCTAATAGCTGTTGTTCGTTATTCATTTGAAATCTTACTTCCATTCACTTGAAAAACATAATATTCAATAAGTACAACTTATTTAAAAAACTATTCTAAAAACGGGGTTGTAACTAGAAAGTTCTACATTATTCAGTTACTCAATAAGTAATATGTAAATTTGATAAGTAAATCTTAACTTACACATGGTTTTTGGTGAAGTCTTGTCTGTGTCTGCCGTCGAAAGAGATAAGAGCATCTCCTCTCGCATCATTGTTGAGCTTGCACTGAAAATAACTCCTGTTAGATGAAACATCGAATCCTATGAAACTGTCGTGACAACTCCCATTCATTCCAATATTAATTTGTAAATCCGAGAATAATAAACGTGCAGCATAGTTTAAATATCAATCATATGGAAAGGCCATGTAAGGTGTAATAAACCACATAAATTTGCAAACATGTATTACGTGTCATTATGTTACGATGTTTGCGATGGTGCCTGGTGGATTTATCAAAAGACAGTGACCAAATCTGCTCACACATTTGTAAACTGTAGTCTAGGTAAATTTGTGACAAAGCAGGTTTGACAATGACAGGATGATGAAGATGCCAGGTGTAGGAGTCGGACAAAGAAATATTATAGTATTCGGTGAAGAGAGACATTGTCTCCTTATATAATACTTCTGTGTGCTGACCAAAGAATTTAATTTCAGCATCATTACAAGAGAGGAATACCGGCCCACTAAACCTGACTATTCTTAAACACATTTTCGTAATCTGAGCTGTTCTTACAACTCAACAAAATGTGATCCAGTCTCACCTTCAAGATGCAGTTAAGAGGTACCATGATGGGTCTAAAGGAGAGGGAGTGAGGACAGATGGGGGTAATAATAGAGCAAGGAACAGAGGGTGCCACAATGCTGGCTCCAGTTGCTGCTGCGTACGCGGTGCTGCCGGTCGGGGTGGCTACAATAACACCTGTCAGGAAAGGGGTCGTTAGTGGGGTGTGGCTTCAAAGTGTGGATAAGTTTATAATGTTATATTAATCGTAAGTTTAATCAGTTCGATACAATAGGTTACGAAAAATATCACATTCCATACAAATATTTTTAAAACTACGTTTAATGTGACTTTTAAAAGCTCGAATTTCAGAAGTTTTCGGCTCAGAAGTATGGAGGAACTGGCGTGATTTATTCTCTGATAAAGATGTTGTGACTGATGTGATTTGAATGTCATACATTAAAGTTCTGCTTTTTAAGGGGGAGATATAAGATTTGAATGTCATACATTAAAGTTCTGCTTTTTAACGGGGAGATATAAGATACGCATTTACTGTTATTGAGACCACTGATGATTGATGGATGAAGGTAACATTACACCACTTTTATGACACGAGAATAAATGACTTTAGCACCAAACTACATTCTATATCCCTACATGTATACTGAATACTGATGTATAGCAGTAAATACAGAAAGCTAGGAGGAGCATGCATTTCCCGTAAATTATCTTTGGCCTAGGCCTAATGAGGCACTGGGCCATAGTTATAAGTTAATTGCCTATGAAAGAGTGTGTGAGCAATTCTATGCTACAACCTTTTACCTCAGTTAACCTGTTCAATTTTTGGTATAGTATTAATAGATTATAGATTGATTCCATTGCTAACGTGTATAACAGAAACTTTTGCCAGTTGTAAAATGTAAAACCATCTTGTTGTACAAACTAAATCGTGCTTGTTAAAATGACTATTTAAACAAACCAATTTAGTTTACCATCAATGTGACCGATGCACTTCACCCGTTTGAAACGTAACTTAAGACTAAGTAATTGACCGTTTATCTTTGATGTGACACTTGGCATGGCAATGGAAAATGTTAAAGCCAATTGAGAAAACTAAGGACCACTGTCAGACCACATGCAGTTATAAGAAACCAATCAGAAATGTGGCAGAAAGTTGGCAGTTTCATTACCTTACCGGCTGGTGTAATTTCTCAGGGAACGTTAGGTGTTTGAACTTTGAAGGTCTTATTTTATCCCCATACATCTTACCACGTTAAAATTTACAAAAGCGACATTCGAATTTCGAACATAAACGATAGTAGCAATATTGTGGGAAGTTTCACGATATATATCTATAGAGTATAGACTCATTTTAATAACGCTTTAGAATTAAAAATGTATTTTATATTATGGGACTCAATAATTTTAATTTTGAGCAAGTTCAAATTTGCAAAATTTTCCACACCACGATAAACAGTATAAGTGAAATACTATTAAAAGTACGTCCCCTGCCAGACAAAACGCTAAATTTTCGTACTGGCAAGTTCAAGCTATCAGAAAAAAAAAATGGTTTTTTATCTGCGATTTAAAGCAAAAACTTCTAACAATCATCTAAAACCTTAAACGACCATAATGAAACAGACACCCAAACCCCGAAGTACGGGCCCCGATATGGGGGGACCTAGTTGGTTAGAAGAAAAGGGTAGTCGTCCCGCACACGTAAAATGGGTCTCGATATTCCTAGCGAGGCACAAAGCTACTCCCCCGGAGTTAAGGAATTCCTCCATACGGGTAAATTTTACCCACCCCTCAGTTTCGCAAATGTTTAACCCCTTTTGGTCACCCAAAGGGTTGTACTTTTAAGTTAGTTTATATTTCTTTACCGTACGTCTTCGTTAATCCTCGGTGTATCCACCCACCCCTCGTTTTCCAATAACCTGCTGGGTCCCCACAAGGGGGGGTGTGTCACGTTTTTGTAATAATACTTTCCTTCCCTACACTGAGTTGATATTTTTTCCTCGGTGTTATACACCCCACCTCGTTGCAAAAATACTGGGTCACAACGGGTGTTACTTTTTTAGTAAGTTACATCTTCCTTACTCTAGGTAATTCCCTTCGGTTGTATCAACCCACCTCGTTCAAATCAATCACTGGTCACTAAAGGGTGTATACTTTTAGTAAAATTAATAGACTTTCCTTACACTAGTAAAATAAAAAATCCCCCTTTTCTTCCTGCAATGTCCCTGTCAATCCTTAAATTCCGCTAAGTTCCCCTGTTTCATCCTCCCCCTCTCTTCCCCTTGCCCTTTTTCCCCATTTAACAAAAAATCCTATATTCCCCATTTTTCCCCCTTTTTTCAAATTTTTTTCCTTCAAATTTCATCATTATTCTCCCCTACGCCGGCCAATCCCTACCCAAATTGTATTTTTTTTCCGTCCACATAATCCCAATTTCCCCCCCCCTCGTGGTCTCCACCCACCTCGTTTTTTATCTATACCCCCTGGTCAACCCATGTGGGTGTACTTTTAGGTAAAATCCTAGGGTTCCCCCAACAAGGGATTTTTATAATACTTTTTAGGCAAATAAACCGTCCTTTACCACCAGTTGGTGGGTATAAGAGGGTTTGGGGGTGCGGTTTTTTTCCCCTCGCCAGAAGATCTCCCAATGGAAATTTAAATTTAACGACTGTCATAAAGAGCTATCCAACGAATTGGTTGTCTTCTTCAATAGATTTTGTGAACCCGCAAAACTGTTATTTTGATCACCACAACCCACTGCACGTTATTTTGTGTCTTTTTAAGGTATCCACGCCTTAGCCAAACATCGCCACTGCCTGAACTTCGTTTAGGCTACGCCGTGGTCCCATTTTACTTATTGTTTTGACGGGTTTTATGGGATAATTGTTCTGATTAAATTTTTCCCATGCGCGCCGATCATAAATGTATTTTTCTATAAGGTGTCAGTTTTTAATCTTAACAAATTGCAAAAGTCTTTATTACCCGGAGTACACCTTATTTTGACTGCGGTACCATTAATGCGACCCGGGTACATAATTTATTTGGAGTCAAAACGGGGGACAATTGAAAATGGGGAACGCTATCGGACAGGGGGGCCATTTTTAAAACCATCAAAAAATTGTCCTGATTTTTTTAATTTATTTTTTCTTGCGTTTGTAATTACCATTTTTTAGCCCATGAGAGTAAATTTTTTTTCAAGATTAAATTTTTGTTCTCATTTTTAACCAATGAAGGCAAGGCGAAATGATGGGCAAGGGGTCGTTAAGCAGTAAAAAAAAATTAAAAGAATGTGTTCGCCAAAATATCTTGGTGAGGTGATCAAAAGTCCAAGTGGTTTCTATGATTTATTGATAGTGATGTTAAAAAAGTACCACCCGATTTTAGGCGAACATATTTGTATGCTAAACCAGATTTGGATGGATCACTTAATCAACAGGTCCATCTTTCACTTCAATAATGGGGGTTTATCCGGTTTGCATTGTACAAAATATTTTGTCCATGCTTTAAAAAAGCTTTTTCATATCCCAGGTAATTTTCACCGCTGGGCTTTGTTTTTGAAATAAATAACCAATTTTATGTTATTTGAAAACTCCCCAACCCTCGGGTCCTTTGCATTTCAGTGTAACTTTTTACACCCCACCCAAAGGATGTAGGGGAGGGTAAATATAATAAACTTCCGAAAGATGTGGCTCTAACGAACGGAAAGGCCATCCAAAGAATCAAGGAAAAGTTTGGATTCATGGGTGCCATGTAGTTTACTAAGTGTGGATTACTTTAGTGAATTGTTTTTTTTAATTGTTATAATTTAAAACTCCGTTTTTCGCATATGATTTGCCAATTGATATTGAGTTTTTTGTCGCGACTCCGGATGATTAAGAAATTACAAATTGGGGGGGACTGGACAAATTAAAAAAAGTTAATTCTCAGAATCCTGTCTCCGAAACTCATGAGGTTATTCCGCAGAGTTGGAGATAAGTTTTGGACAAAAAAATTCTGGACGGGAACTTTTTAAAATTGGGGGACCGGGGGAACCGTTTTAGACTTTGGGGACGGACCTTTAAAATTTTGAAACGGGGGGACAATTTAAGGATGCAAACGTGCTAGGGACGCCGCGTGAGCGTATCAATTAAATTGTGTCCCGTTTCATATACTATCAGGTATTCCGATTAAGGTATATAATCACTTATTAAGTTAATGCTTTTTAAACGACACAAAAACCACTGTTAACTAAACAGGCACCAAACCATTTAACAGAAAAACTAGGGGACTTAACACAACCATAATTCTAAGGTTTTTGGTTCTGTATACCTGGAATTGGTGGGTCTTTTTTCCGGGGGAAACCCTATTGTTGGATGTAGGGATTCCTCGGGTTGGGTCTTCCATTTTCTGATTTTTCCCCCAGTTCCCTTGTTTTTCCCAGAGAGTTAGACTTCCCAGTGTCTGATTTTCCTCAATGTTGGAATTTCCCAACGTATTCCTGTAAAATTAATTTTTTAAGTATTAAAGGGAAAATGTTTATGGGAGTTTTAAATAATAAAAAAAACTTTCCGAAATAGGATACAAAATGTTTTTAAGTGAAATGTAACCTTTTCCTTTAACGTAAACCCTTTATTCTCCAATTTCTCCCTTACATGTGTTTACCAATTTGGGGAATTGGGGTTCCCAGGGGGGGACCCATTCGACTTGTTCGGGGGGGACGAATTTTCATTTGTCTTCAAGTCGGTTTAATTCGTCAAAAAAACCCAGCGTTGTCTTGTTTTTGGTAATAAAGCTGGCTTAATGTTTTAAAAATTGCACTAGCCACTTAGTTTATCATTTGTATTAAAGCCCAGGGGGCTCTGAGTGATGGTTTTTGTAGATGTCAGGAATTCCGGGGTCGCGGGGGCGTTGTACTTCTTAGTTTACCTCTCTATGTGTGTTTTGTATCATCATCAACAAATGGGGACGCTGATGGTAATAATCTATTTTATTAAATTAATGGGAGTGGTATTTAATAAAATGTTTGGTTTCTGCAAAATTTTTAGCCACTTTAATGTTAACTCTTTATATCATCCTTCAAAAAAACATTAATATTGGGGATAATGGATTTATTTCTTCTTTTTTACGATTTAGGTCGTGCTTTTAACATTATTTTATTCTCGGGGGTGACAAATCATAACAGGCCAAGGAAGTAAAAAACAGTTTTACAAAAGGTAGTTCGTTGTCATGATTT